CGGCGCACCAACTCCCCAGTCGACCCTGCTCTGAGGCCGACCAGGAGCTCACCTAGGGATTGGGCCTGCCCTCTGCCACCCGGGAGCAGGCCTAAGCCAGCAGGGGGTTATCTCCTGAGGGGTCCAAGACTGTGAGAGGGCACAGGCCAGGCTGAGGGCCCTCTCCTTCCTGCCGAGTGCACAAATTTTTGTGCACCGGCCTCTAGTTACTTATAACAGGCTTCTTCAGTGTCTCATATCAGTTTGCTCCGGTGGGCTTCTGGGCTTATCAGGATACACATGCAGGGGGGTTACATGGTACTTATGAGGAGTTAACATGCAGGGAGTTGTTGATCAGGAGTTACAAGTTATTTGTCAGGAGTTAACATGCAGGGTGTTACAAGTTACTTATAAGGGTCTCGCACACACACACACAAATTAAGTTCCTCTTCTAAGTAAAGTTTAAAATTCACTCTAATAAAAAATGAAATTTGATTATGCTATCTTATACTAACTAAACTTATTACTATAACATCCTTCCCTCCTCCAAACCTTAGCAACTAATAATCTTTTTACTGTCTCAACAGTTTTGCCTTTTCTAGAAAGCCATGTAGTTGGAATCATATAGTATGTGGCTCTTTCAGATTCACTTCTTTCACTTATTAATATGCATTTAAGCTTCTTCTAAGTCTTAATATAGCTTGATAGCTCATTTATTTTTATCCCTGAACAATAAACCATTGTATGGATTTAGTTATCCCCTAAATTTATTTAGTCATCAGTTTATTTATTCATTAAATGTATTATTTTACCTTTATATTTCAACACCTAGCAACTTGCCTAGCACATAATAAAATATGCACAATTATTTGTTAAATGAATGAATGAATAAATAAACAAACCTTCTATCAGCAAGCATAGTCTATTCAGCCAGAAAGACAAGTATCAAGAAGAGAATGGTTTCGAAGTTTTGTTATTTTATTTATCAATAATTGAGTAATGGGGCCCAAAACTAACTTTAAGAAGTAATCATTAAGAAACCAAAATGGCGGAGAAATGGAAGCTGACACTCTCCCAGGACCAAACTGGAATTACAATTAAAATACAGAAAACCATCCTGAACAATCAACTGAAGACTAGCTGCAGAGAACCCTGATAACCAAGGATGGAAAGTGGAGACTGCATAGAGTCTGACAGGAAGTAATGGGAAGGGCCAGCTGGGCTCCCATAGACAGCAGCTGAAGGTCCAAAGAGATATCTCAGCTTGGGGGATTCCCACTGAGGACTCAGGTCTAAACCAAAAGCTGGGCTCTCTAGCCCAGAGAACCAGAACTGAGAAAGGTTCTCGTATAACATCTGGCTGTGAAAAGCAGTAGCGTTGCTTGCTGTCTGCCAAGATGAGATGGCTGGAAATGCAGGCAAACTCTTAACAAGCCAATGCACAAATTTTCGTGTGCAGCCACTCACCTTTGGCTCCAGCAAAGGGGGTGAGAGTGGAGGGGTGGGGGGAACAGAGTGCACTAGAGCTGTGTGAACAGAATTGAAGGTGGGGACTCTAAGGTTAGAATTCAGAAGGCAGCCACCCTGGTTTCCTGTGATGAGTCATTGCCTCATACTGCAGAGGATATCTTTTTCTAACAGACTTCTACAATCCAGGCAGCTTTTTCTTTGAGGGAGGGGGAGAAGCAATAGCCTCACCCTTTTGGAAAATCTCTTGCCCTACCATGTGGTCAAAAACCTGAGGCTAACCAAGACTGAATGACAATCAAACTGCAGACAGAGGCAGGTCTCTGGAGGATTTGAGTCTTTGCCTGATCTCCTTCTGGGCCCAAGGCTAGTAAAAGCAGACCTGGGTGTACATCTTGGTCCTTTCCAAAGGCACCAAACCCCAGCAGAGAGAACCACAAACTGAGGATTGCTGATAGCTAAAAAAAAAAAAAAAAAAAAAGAATTCGTACCATGTGCAACAGAGGGCCAGTTACAAACAGCATCTAACATTGTCCTGCACTAGAGATTGGGAGTCATAGCAGATGTACCTAATACATAGACAGAAACCCAAGTAAGCAGCCAAACTGGGTAGACAAAAAAAGCTCAAAATGAAAGAACAAGAGAACTAGTCAGAAGAAGAGCTAAATGAAATGGAGATAAGCAATTTATCAGATATAGTGTTCAGAATAATGATGGCAAAGATGCTCAACAGCATGAAAAAGATAGAGTAACTATGAAAAAAGACCAGTTGGAAATGAAGATTGGCATAGCACTAATAAAAAACACATTGGAAGGAATAAAAAGCAGATTAGGGAAAGCCGAGGATTGGATCAGTAAATTAGAAGACAAGTAGGAAGAATCACTCAATCAGAGAAGCAAAAAGAAAAAAAACAATTAAAAAATAAGAGGACAGCATAATGGAGCTAAATCATGAAATGTAATAATATTTTCATCAGAGGAGTTGCTCAAAGAAAATGAGCAAGGGATAGAGAATGTGTTTGAAGGAACAATGGCAGAAAATTTCCCTAACCTGGTAAAGGGAAAAGTCATATAAGTTCAGAAGCACAGAAAGTTGCAAGCAAGAAAAAGCCAAACAGGCCCACACCCAGACATATCATAATTTACTAGGTGTACCTGCTAATAATGGTGAATTTTGTAATCAAAGAAAACACAATAATTTCAAGAGAAACATCAAAAGTGCTTTATTCAAAGTAATGTTCATCACTAGCTACACATTTCCCCCATCTTTCAGGTAATTTGTGAATACCGTCCCAATAGAACTTTTCTTGTTTTGAGGCAAACCATTCAGAGACCCAGTTTTCCACTTCTTTGTATGTTTTGAAGTGCTGCTCAGAAAGTGCGTGTGACATCAATCAGAACAAGTGGTAATCTGAAGGAGCAA